AGGGAGGCGGAGGAGCGAGTGGCGTGCGGGGGGGGGTAGCTGGGATCTGCTCTGACCACCCTACCCACCCCGCAATGTAGGGGAGACCTGGAGGAAGGGGCAGGGAGGGGACATTGGAATCAGAATGGGCCTTCCTGGGGAGCAAAAGGACCTGGAGCCCCACCGAAGGGCCCTGGTTAGGAAGGGACCCGAAAAGGGTTCTGGGCCTGGGTGGGGGCCTGAGGGACTTTAGCCAGCAGCTGCACTAAAGGAGGGGGGAGCAGTGCAGCCAGTTAATTAGCGGCTTATCAGGCCGCACTCGGAGTGAGTTAATTAGCTTTGTAGAGAGAGATAATGAGTCAGTCTTAGAACCCATGAATCTGGGGAGAAGCCTAAGTGATGGACTGCCACCCACCCTGATCCCCTCCTAGACCCTTCTTGCATTCTCTTCCAGCTCTGAGATTCCTGGAAAGGAATTCCTTTGCCTCCACAGTCCCTGCCTACCCCTTGAGAAGTCCTTCCTTCAGTCTAATTCCAGTTCTTCCTGCTGCAGAATACATTGGGTGTTTCCTGCCTGAAGCACGGGAAACTGAGGAGAGACAAGGCTGGAGAAAGTGCCAGGGAAGAGGACCAAGGCATTCCCAGTCCCCCAATTCTGGGTACCCCCCAACACCAGGCCAGCCCCCGACCAATTCCCCCTCCCACCCTCCCAATTGATCCCACACTCATTAACCTGCCAGTGGGCTGGCCACTAATTAATCCCTGGGTGGAGAAGAGGGGCAGGGTCAGAGGTTAAAGACGCTATTGAGGGCCCAAGGGTAGGTGCTGCCAAGCTCAGGCCTCTACAGAGAGGACCCAAACTGAGGACTAAACCCTGGGGTTTCCCTTCCTCAAACCTGGTAGGTGGGGGTCCTTCCCTTACATCAACCCACTCACCCCTCTTCTGCATGAAGCTAAACAGGTCATCCAGAAATTCTTTCCTCTTGGGATCTGCATCGAGCTCGTACAGCTGGGGAAAAACTGAGGTCATTTTCCAGCCCAGCTACCCCTCCCTCTGGGACCCCTTGGACTCCAAACCCTGAAAAAGCTGGGGAGCTGAAGGGGTAAGTGGGGTCTGAAATGTAGACTTCCTAAGAGAGCAGTGGGCTCTCTCCCCTGGGGGCAGGTTAGGGGCACTTTTTTCCCTGATACACACAGAGACCCTCTGCTGGCAGGTGGTGCCCTGGCAGTTCAAACCACCCATCTGGGGAACAGGAGAAGAGAGAAAGCTATGGAGGCTCTGCCAGCCTTCCAAAGCCCCCAAGAGGAAGTCAGGCTGGAGATGTGTTCCACATTGAGGAAACCCATAGACATATCTGAGCTGCTCTTTCACTCTCATTCGTTCCTGCAAGGACTTACTGCTATTCACGGATCTGTGTGCTAGGGCTGGGGATGAGAGGCAGAGATGCCTTTAAGCCATCTCTCACACAGAGTGGATGCTCAGAAAAGCTCCTGGATTGAAACCTGGGGCCCGTCAGCCCACATTCTGGTCTGATCTCCTTCCAGGGACAGTGACCTGCCCACTAAAGAAGCTGCCACAGAGGCAATGGCCCTGTACCAGCTAGGACCTGTAGGGACAGGACTTGAAATGCCCAGGGGTCACCTCAGCCATTCTCAGTCACTTGGAGCCCTATTTCCAATATCACCTCTCAAATAACCCTAGGAGGGACAATCCCTAAAGCAAGAGTCTTTTACCCAGAGTAACAGTCCCTGAGTAACACCCGCAAGTAACACTCCATCCCCCAGTAAGAACTCTCAGAGTGAAAAAAACACCCATGTGTAACAAATCCCAGAAATCCACCTTTAGAGCTACACTCCCACAACTGAGCCCTAAGTCTTAGAAGGGTACCTGCAAATAACAGACACACTGTCCAGTAGCAGTCCCCAGAATTCTACCCAGGAGAAACAGTCACTAGAGCCACATCTCCAGAGTAACAGAGCCCTGAGTAACATGCCCAGTTTTACACTAATGCTACAGGGTATGAACCACAGACGAACACCCTACGAGTAACACCACTGGAATAGCATGCCTAGAATCACAGCCCTGCGTATGACCTTAATGACAGCCTAAAGTAGTGCCTTAGAATAACACCCAGATGGGTTCCGCAGGGAGGAAGAACCTCAAATTAAGGCCCTGTGAGTAAGATCTTGTCCTTCCCAGTTGTACAAGGGCCCTTTAGGCACACTGCGGCTGTCGTGGCCATCAGAGGCTGGGAACTGTCACTCACAGAGCTCAGGCCAGGGAGAGGATGTGGACAGGGGACTGTGACAGGGAAGAGAGGAGGTGGGTATCAGCTTGCCAAAGGAGTGGCAACCTCCATTCTCCTTCCAAAGACAGAAGTAGGTAGCCGAGGACACCCCCACAGGTCACTGGAATATGACCTTGTGACTTGATGTGTGAGAAAGTGGGGTAGTGCTGGCATGGAATCCCCAGTTTCCAGACCCCCTCTCTCAGAATTCTTGAGGGCTCTTACACCCCTCCCACTTTCCCTTCCAGCCTCACCAAGTGCCTCCTCCAGTCTGTTGGCCTCCATGTTTCTGGGTGTCTCCTGCACCTCTCAGTGTGTATCCATGCACTTCTTTCTGTGTCTCTGCGTGTCTGTCTCTGCCTCCCTGTCCCTGTCTATCCTTCAGTCTTCCCACCATCTCTCACCATGTCTCTGTGTCTCTGTCTTTACATCCTGCGGAGCCCAGTGTGGGTGGGTGGGCTAATGATCACCATGTTGGGCCCAGAGAGTAGGAAGGGGGAGGGCCTGATCATCCGTCAGAGGGTCCTACCTGCTTGAATTGCTCCTCGTAGGTCCACTCATGGGGGTGAGGTCCAGGGGTCTGGCTGGAAGGTGAGCTAGTGCCCCGGGTCCCTGGACGGCTCTCCTCAGCCACCTCATCTTCTGCCCCGGCTTCCTCTCCGTCCTCATCCTCTTGGGCGTCCTCCTCTTCCTCAGCCCCGACCTCCCCCAAGACCCCCTCAGGGGCCTGCAGGGTCTGGGAGCCAGAGCCGGGAAAGGAAGGCCGAGGTGGTGGCGGTGGGCGTGGAGGTGCCAATGGCCCCACCCCCTGGGCCAGTCGGGCTGCCTGCTGTCTCTGCAGGGCCTCCATGACAGCTTCCAGGCGCAGTCCCCCCACTGGTGGGGGGGCTGGCACCAGGCGGGGCCCTGAGGAAAGGGCTGCCTGTGGGGGAGGGAATTATGGGTGTTGGGCCCTGTTCCACCACAACCCCCAACACAAGGGGAGGTGGTCATTCAGGGAAGTGCAGGGGGGCCATAAGGAAAAAGGCAGAAAGATCTCTTCCCAGAGATGCAAAGAGAGGTAAAAAAAGCAGGAGAGACAGAGACCAGACCCAGAAAGACAGAAATGAGCATTGACTGACGACAGATAGCGACTAAGCAGATCAAAGAGGGGTAACAAGGACCAAGAAACAGAGAGAGATGGAGGAGAGACAGAGATCTGACAGAGAGAGAGACAATGGCAGGAAGACTTGGGTATAGAAATGGAGATGGGACAGAGAGATGGGGAGAGAGAGAAAGAGGGACCAAGGTGGAGACAGAGATATCGGGCAGAGACCAGAATGGAGAGACAGAGATGGGGAGAGAAGAGATTGATAGAGATATTGGGTAAAGAGATTGGGAAGGGAGGAGAGATAGAGAAGCAAGGGATAAATACAGAAGACCTAAGTGACAGGCAGTCCAAGGAGAGTGACAGAGACAGAGTCGGAGTCAGAGAGAGACAAATAGTGAGACGGGAGTTGAGAGAGACTGGGAAAGATCGACGCAGCAGGAGACAGACGAAAAATCAGAAAGAGACAAGGCGAGACAGTAAATAGATGGGGAGAGAGGGAAAAACCGACGGAGAGACGGGACAGAGACGCAGAGGACTAGAACGAGGAGGAGCGGGAACCGAGGATGCCGGCGGCAGAGCCCTGGACTGGGACAGGGGACGGCGGGGGTCTCCACA